GCATGTATGAGATGAATTAGGTTTTAAGATTTTATTGATTACAATATTAATTAATACACATGTAAATTTTTTTATAGTTCAAATAGACTTAGATTTACATACCCAAATCTTCAAAGATTCTAATATTTTGCCTTTGTCTAATAAACTTTTGTGCTCTCTCAATCGTCTTACCAAGTAATTTTAAATTTCAATAATCTCTTCCACAAATTTATTTCAGTTTTTTCATTAGAAAAAACATCGATTACTCTCTTATTCGATAGATGCGATAGATTACGATGATCTATTTTAATATAAGAATAAATTCATCAACTTTTTAAAAAATAGATATTTGAGTAGTAAAATAGTTAAAAAAAAGTTTTCCTAATGTAAATAAAAATAAGAAAAATTAATAATTTTAAAATATGTGATAAAATTTAGTTGTAAATCAAATAACAAAAACATCAAAATTACTAAATAAATGTTATGGTTTTCGATCAGTTATAAAAAAATTATGTTACAAATCCGAATATATGCGGATCTTTAACCTAGTATCAAATAAACTATAGGAAGTGTTTTTTTGTATCAACACTGATATTCATGTAATTCTTTGATTTGAAAACAAGGAGAACACCACTATTGTCAATTTGATTTTCTAACCACCCCTTACAAGAAAAACCCAAACAAGAAATCTAACTGAATTTTTTTTGACTAATTTCATTCTCAAAAAAGAAAACAGAAAAACAGCCAAAATGACTTAACTAGTCTTCTGTTTGACCAAACACACAAAAAAACTATAATTAGCAATAACAGCAAGAAACGAAGAAGATTACAGGTTGTAACTCTCACCTATTAATGCAAGAAAATCAAAACACATGATGAAGACAAACATCAATTTGTTCAAAGGGAAAAAATACAAAACAAACCTGCAAGGGGAGGATCGGGTTTACAGAGAATCCGGCGTGTATCAACTCTTTCACGTAAAGATTCTCTATAAATGGCCGGTCCTGTAAAAGAACCTGAATTCCGTGTAGTCGCTTCGTCGCGATATGGGACAGTCGTATGTTATAACCAAACGATCTTAGCCGAAATCGGAGACCATGAAGGATGGAAGAGTGGAGCCACCCTTGCAAGTGCACTTCCTGTCTTTATAACACAACTATTTGTCGCTAATCTTAGCTACCGTTTATTCTACCATTTGACTCGGCCTCTATATCTTCCTCCTTTCGTCGCACAAATCCTTGTAAGTGAATCATTAATGTCGAAAACAATGTTATTAAAACGTTACCAATCTGGAATTATTCTTATCATGACTATTGCAAAAAATATGTTCTTTTTGGTTAACTAATTGAGTCTTTTTTATTAAATCCCTTTGTTGAAAGTTAATTTTGTTTTTGTGTTTAAAAAGGTGACATTAATTAAAGTTTAATTTAGATAGGGTTATTAAAGTTTTCAATTTTTTTGCAGAAAACAATCGATTTGATTTTAATTTTTTTTTTGTGTGTTTAAAAACGTTTTGTGCAGTGCGGATTACTATTCAGCCCAACTTTGCTCGGCGGAAACGATTTAGTCCTCAGACGTATTTTCCCATATAGATTCACAATGGTTCTCGAGACATTCGCAAACGTAGCACTCGTTTACAACATCTTCCTTCTCGGTCTCGGTATGGACCTAAGGATGATCAGAATCAGAGAACTCAAACCAGTGGTCATAGCCATCGTTGGTATGTTGACGGCTTTACTTGCCGGTATTGGTTTTTATTACCTTCCCGGTAACGGACAGAGAGACAAGAGCTTCGCAGGTGGTTTGTTCTGGGCGGTCGCTTTTGCTTGTACCAATTTCCCTGACCTTGCCAAGATTCTCGCGGATCTCAAGCTCTTGCGTACTGATATGGGACGTACCGCCATGTGCGCAGCCATTATTTCAGATTTAGGCACTTGGATTCTCCTCATTACCGGACTTGCAATTTTCTCCAAAGCAGGTAAATCCGTAAATATATATATTTGGTTTTGTTTTGTTTGTTCCCTTGGTATTACAAAAAAATATGATCATACATGCTAACGAAAGATACAAGCTCCCCAATTTAATTTATCTCCAAAAAAAATGATCATACTAACAAAAGATATATATTTTCCTGAAAAAAAAAACAGGTGTGTTGAACAACGTGATGATATACGTATTTGCGTCAGTCATAGCTTTCGTGCTTCTCTGCTTCTTTGTGATCCGTCCTGGAATCGCTTGGGCCTTTGCACATACGGTAAAAGGTGGTCAAGTCCGAGAAACTCACGTCTGGTTCACTCTCGCCGGAGTTCTTCTATCTGCTCTTATCACCGACGCATGTGGAGTCCAATCAATCACCGGAGCTTTCTTGTTCGGTCTCTCCATCCCTCACGACCACATCATTCGTTCCATGATCGAAGAGAAGCTCCATGATTTCTTGTCGGGTATATTGATGCCTCTTTTCTACATCATTTGTGGGTTAAGAGCCGATTTTGGTTACATGCTACAGTTCACGAGCTATGGCGTGTTAGCGTTTGTGATATCTTCCTCGTTCATGGTGAAGATTATTTCGACTGTTGTTTGTTCCATCTTCTTGCGTATGCCTTTGCGTGATGGTTTCGCCATTGGTGCGCTTATGAACACCAAAGGAACAATGGCTCTAGTGGTACTCAATACAGGACGTGATAATAGGGTACGTGTGAGATATGAATATGTTACTTTTTATTTTAAATGGTCATTATATCAATTTAGGGTTTTATTTTATATTTCTTGCAGGCATTGGACGTAATTTTGTACACTCACATGACTGTAGCGTTCTTAGTCATGTCCATAGTGGTGCAACCACTTTTAGCCTTTGCTTACAAACCAAAGAAGAAAGCTGTTTTCTATAAAAACCGAACCGTTCAAAAACTCAAAGGAGAAACACAGTTACGTGTGTTAACATGCGTTCATGCCCTACCTAACGTCTCAGGCATCACAAATCTATTACAAATCTCTAACCCGACCAAGAAATCTCCTCTCAGCGTCTTTGCAATCCACCTAGTCGAGCTAACCGGTCGAACCACGGCTTCGTTGCTCATTATGAACGACGAGGCCAAACCCAAAGCTAACTTTTCAGACCGAGTCAGAGCCGGATCCGAACAGATCGCTGAGACGTTCGAAGCAATGGAATTGAATAATGAAGGGATGACGGTTCAGACCATCACCGCGGTGTCACCGTACGCGACAATGCACGAAGACATTTGTACGTTGGCTGAGGATAAACGAGTCAGTTTCATTTTGTTGCCTTACCATAAGAGTTTAACCTCGGACGGTCGTTTAGACGAAGGAGATGCTGCCTACTCGGAAATCAACCAGAACGTTTTGAGCCATGCACCTTGTTCGGTCGGAATTTTGGTTGACCGTGGCATGACGATTGTCCGGTCAGAAACTACTTCGTTCCAAGGCGAAGCCACAAAGAGAGAAATCGCGATGCTATTCATTGGAGGTCGGGACGATAGAGAGGCTTTGGCTTACGCTTGGAGGATGTCCGGACAACAAATGGTTAAGCTCACGGTCGTGAGGTTCGTCCCAAGCCGAGAGGCTTTAATCTCGGCCAGGAAAACCGCGGCTGATTACGAGAAAGAAACACAAGTAGACGAAGAGAGTATCTACGAGTTTAACTTCAAGACAATGGATGACTCCTCAGTGACTTACATAGAGAAAGTGGTGAACGATGGACAAGAGACTATTGCAGCTATAAGAGAAATGGAAGATAACAATGCTTTCGATCTTTACATTGTTGGAAGAGGTTTTAAAGTAGAATCCCCTATAACCGCTGGTTTGACGGATTGGAGTAGTACTCCAGATTTAGGGACTATAGGCGATACATTAGCTTCATCAAACTTCACAATGCAAGCTTCGGTTCTTGTGATCCAACAATACTCTGCAATAAACAATCAAGAACATGTTGAAGGTAGAGCCAAGGACGCTCGTGAATCTAGGCCTTTTATCAAGTCTCATGTGGAGGAAGAAGATGAGGAAGAGGAACAGTATCAAATGGGAATGCGCAAGTGACAAGAGTTTCCTTTCTTATTTTTTTTTATTCCATACTCTATACAAATCTTATGGAGGAACTTCCAATCTTTCTCAACAAATTGTAAGGTTTTTTGTCATATAATAATCCAAAGAGTGGAATTACGAATTCCCATAAGGATTACGTTACCGAGTTCCATCCATTGCATATTCGATATGTTCAAGTAGAAACCGTTGTAGCTTCTTTCTTAAATATTCGACTTTTTCGCTTGTTTCCGTTCTGCTTAAGATCAGATCATCGAGCCAACGGTTTACCGCTTTAAGGTGGATAACAAGAGACTCTTTTCCATTTGCTTCTTCCTTCTTCACCGAGAACAACCCTTTGTTTAGTGAACTCTCCAAGTATTTCAAGAACCAGAGGCTAGAAACTCGAACTAGCTCGTCCGCTAGAATCGCCGACTCCTTCAACTTGCTTTTACCTTCCAAGTTACTTGTGTCTGAAATAGAACAATGTTTCATCTTAGAAGACGGTTTCACACCATTGTAAGCTAGTTTCCTTGGACCTCTTGTCTCCTTAGGATTCAGTTTCTCGGAGGAGTTTTGTAGAACAATGTAGTGATGATGGTCTTGTTGAACAGCATCATCCTCTTGCTTTCCATGCTCTTTGAATAAGTCGAATTGAGAAAAACCGGTCACTACCGCAGCTTGAACCCAAGATGCTGCATTCCTATTACCTGCTGATCTACACGAGCCGTTGTTTCGATTGTGAGTAAGTAACAGATGGACCGCTTTGCCTGAATTCTGTGTACTTTGGTAGATGTCTAAGAACCGGCACACAACTTGTCCGGCAGATAATTTCTTCGAAGAATCACACAACTCGGCAAAGGCCCTGAAAGAACATATTCATATGCAATTAATAACGAGTCGCAGACTCGAGTAATGAAACTAAAAGAAGCCATTTAAAGATTAGAGAAGAAGACAAACTGCAAATTGAGTAGAACAGACTCCATGACAAATGCTTCCTCCAATGCGCTTACTGCGGTCGAAGCTGCTACTTGCCTATGAGATGAAACTTCCTGAAAGGGAAAGACTGATACAAATGACTAATAGTTCTCAGAGTCACTCACTAGAAGTACTTAAAAGATGATCCAAATAGAGTCCATTCCAAATATGTGGTCTGATCCAAATATACCTTTCCGAGGAATTGAATGGTTTTTGGGAGCCCATTCCATACAATTCTCTGATCAGACCAAGTCATAGGCAACTTAAAAACCGCAACTTGAGAAGACACCGCCTTTGAAGACAACAATTTGTTACCATCTTTTGGAGATTTGGTCATTGTTATAGGTGATGCAGGAGGCTTAACCACATTTCTGTTTCTAAAAGCAGGGCTTTCACAGTTAAGTTGTTTCCATGGTGGTGACTCATTCTTTGTCAGATTCTTATCACTCAAAACCTGCCAAAAACAGCACAATCGATGGAATCAAGAAAGACTCACACTTTACTATCCAGCCAATATCAAACTGCTGCATATCTACAAGAACCAAATTTCTAAGGTTTATTTAAGAAACTAAAAACAGAGCATAGAAGAAGAAGAAGAAAGACGTACCAATTTGGGTTTGAGACGTGGGGAAGAAAGAACCAATGCCGTGTCACGGCGGCGAGTCACCGGAGGAGAATGATCCCAACAACTCCTCCTCACGGCGGAATCCAAGCTTAATCTCCTCGTAGTCTCGCCGAGACTCTTCTTCTTCGTCGTAGTGGTCGGAGAAACAGAGAACTGAGTAAAAGAAAGCAATAAATCGCTAGAAACAAGATCTTTAGGGTTTCCAATGCAGAGCCTTCGTTTGGGGACTGGTTTCAGACCACGGATTATCGGAACAGGACAACCTTTCTCGACGTGTAAACCACCGCAGATATAAACCAACTGTCCTAACTGGATATCATCGGAGCGTATCAAATTGGCGTCGTCTCCGGCGGAAACAGCAACGTAAGCTGCGTGAAGAGAGTCAGAGACTTTGACGAAGAATCCATCGCTACGCCATTGTTGGTCGTCGGAGAGACAAGGTACGATCTCTATGACTTGGAGGAGTGGTAAACGGTGAGAGGAGAGTAACGGCGGCGAAGAAACAGAGTTTCCGGCGGCGATATCGAGAAGGTTAGAGAGAACTCCGGGAGTGAGAGAAGCCATGGTAGATTGATGGTGAAAAGAAGCATCTTTTTTGGGGGTAGGTA